CGTGCGGCGCTGGGCTGCCTCGCGGAGGGCGGAGTGTCGGGCGCTTCTTCGGGGCCCTCGGGCCGGGCCGGGGTCGGTGCCCAGCGGGCCAGCCCCTCCCGGGCTCCCGGGGGTCTCCTGCGGGGCGCAGTTGTGTCCTCGCGCCGCTCCAGTTGTGGCCTGGACACCTCCGCTCGCTTTGTTTCCCTTTTCTTAACGATGACAGTCGAGTGCCCGAAAACCGTCGTTGGTTACATTTTGTCTGATCTTTTACTTGTTGGAGGTAAGACCTTAAATCGGGTCCCTAAACCTCCGTCACGGCCAGAAGCACAAATTGGGACAAGTTAGTCTTTCTTTTTTTTTTTAATGACAGTGACTCAGTTATTTAAACTTATGTTTGTACTTCTATTGAAATAAGGTTCAGTTCAGAGTACACAGAAAACATACAAAATGCAAATAGTCCTGTTTTGTTATTTTGAGAGTGAGTGCGCGCGTGGGGGAGGAGCAGAGAGAGACTCCCAAGCAGGCTCTGCCAGAGCGCAGGCAGGGCTTGAACTCAGAAACCCTGAGGTCATGACCCCAGCCGACACCGGGTCCCACCAGGCTCCACGACTGAGCCACCCAGGCACCCCCCTCCCCTTTTTTTTTACTTCCCTGAAAGTAGGTCTAAAGAAGTTACCAAGTTGCTTAGAAATCGACCAGGAAAGACCTTAAAAGTTAAAATGTTTGCTGTAACTTTGGAATAAGTAGTATTCTGGCTGTGAAACAAGGTAATTTGAAGCTCCACTTCAGATCATTGTGTTCTTAGCGGAATTAAATTTTCTAAGCCGGCCACTCCTGTTTGGACGTTTTAAAAAATAGCCTAAGGAGAAGCTAAAATTTCTTGAGAAGCCAAATTAGATTTGTAGTTGATTTTACTAATCTTTCACATAGTAGTTTCAACTTTTCCAACAAATATTGTCACCTTGAGTTATGTTGCATTAGGGATGGGTCTAGAAGACGAGTAGGGGTGTCTCTGCAGTCCTGAGAGTTTTTCATCCTGTGAATGAGTGATAGGACCTGTGGAGGACAGAGTGGGAAAGATTTGGGTTTAGATAGGTAGACCCGAGGTCAAGTCTAGACTTAGCTTTTAGGTGTCTGAATGTGACAAGTTACTTCACTTTCCCAAACGGGTCCTTTCTACACAAAGGGGACCTTTGTTCTTCTCCGCATCCGCTAGCCCTTCTCCGCCAGCACTGGGGACTCTTCAGTCCCGGGACAGACTGTACCGTATGACCAGCCTGAGCTAGTCAGAAAATCAGCGTCCCGGCCACAGCGACGTAGCTGGGACAGGCATATGACCTAGCGAGGATGGTCAGATGGACTCCGTATTTTTGTAGCAGCTACCAGAAAGTTCTTTTAATTCTTCTTACGTAGAAACAAGAGAAGACCTGTCATCGGGTGGGAGCTGCCGCTGCGGGGCCAGTCCGTGAACCTCAGAGAAGGATCACATAGGAAACCGCAGAGATGTGGACAGAGTCCCAGCCCTGGCGACGTAGTTTACGCCCGGAAGCCAGCCCTAGTCAGTGTTCTCGCTTACCTGAGTAAATAGGTTTCCTTTATGCTTCAGCCAGTTTGGGTCCGGTTTTCCGTTATTGTCACGGGAACAATTTGATGATTAGGAGTACGGTTAACCACTTTATGCCCGTGGCTAGATTCCAAAACGTCTTATGTATATGAGCTGCTTGGGACAGTGGCTGCCACTCTCCGTATCCCTTTTAAGGTGTCTTTCTTGAACTCCATAAAGTTTTAAGAAAAATCCCCATTAAAAAATATCCCCCTCCATCCAAGTGTTTAAAATCTCACAACAGCCTTACTACCTGTGGGTTTTCCACCCAAAAGAAATTGGTCTTCTTTTTTTAATTTTTTTTAATGTTTATTTATTTTTGACAGAGAGAGACAGAGCATGAGCAGGGAAGGGGCAGAGAGAGGGAGACACAGAATCTGAAACAGGCTCTAGGCTCTGAGCTGTCAGCAGCACAGAGCCCGACACGGGGCTCGAACTCACAAACTGCGAGATCCTGACCTGAGCCGAAGTCAGACGCTCAACCGACTGAGCCACCCAGGCGCCCCAAGAAATTGGTCTTCTTGTTAGCTACGCAGAATACTTTTCTGCAGGCTTTTGTTTGGAAACTTAACCTTGTAATTATTACTTTGTAACTCCTGACAAAAATCACAGCTGACCTGGCTGATGTTTGAAGAAGATGCTGTGGGGAGCGCGTTCCTTATCCCTCCTCCGGGTAGTGAGTTCTGTGCTTGGAAAGAAATGATACCGCCCGAGTGCGACGTTCTCGGATGGGGCTAAGTAACACGCATAAACTCTCACTCCTGAAAGGTGCTCTCAGTGATTTCTATTTCAATGTTCTGGCTTTAATTTTTTTTCATTCGATTACAGATGGGCCTAAGCTACTGCACGTAGGCAGAGCGCACGCTTGCGTCTTCTGAAAACCTGGTCAAGCCCCTCTCCATGGTGCTGTTCGGTGCCCTCTGCGAGGGCACTCACATGACTGATTTATTCTCGAGTTTCTCAAGCATGAACCGAGTGTTCTGGGAGTAGTGTGAAGAGAGAGGACGGTGGAAGACGAGTGACGGCTGGGGGTGTACGTAGACGGGCAGATGTGCTTCTTTGCTGTGCTTAGTCCCGCAGGGGAGGATGTGGATGCACCTACGGTGCACAAGCTCTGCCTCTGCTCTGCCTAAAACCAAGCTGCCGTGTGCGGCACCGTATTGAAGGGATGTGTGCATAAACACTGTGACGAGAAGGGTGACGGTGCCTGCACGCCTCACGGGAGGGGTCCAGGGATGGGAGGCTAGTCACGTGGGAAACATTTCTATGGAGGGGAATCCAATATTGCCTCTTGCCCGTGGAGGAGACGATGCCGAGAAAGCGTCGACACTCTGGAATGGCAGCTGGAGTTTGTGTGCTGCTTGGGGGTGAGGTTTTGCCACGATCACCCTAGAGACAAGTCCCGGACAGTGATGTTGGGAACCTATGGATCTCGGGTACGTCCTGCCCACGGGGTTTGAGTTTGCCCGTCTGCGTGGCCTCCACCAGACCCCTACGTGGATGGGAATGGTTTGGCTGCCTCGACACCCTCCTTCTTTCCTATTTAATATCTCGGTACTCTCCAACTTCTCCTTTGTCATCTACAAAATGCTCTTTATCCTACACGATGCATGTTCCGTGCCTACCTGTGTTCACGCAGTCCTTGATGCTGAAAATATCCGTAAGGAGCCGAAGCCAATGGCACTGGGTCCGTCTTCCTCCTTAATATAACGTTCAGTGTTGAAAGCATCACCGAGAACAGGTGTCCTTCCGTTTGTTTCTCGTAATCTTTAGTATTGCCTTTAGCTTTCTAACCCTTCTAGATTTATTACTGATCTCTGGTTTTAATCTTGCTTCTGCCCAGCTACTTCCCTTTTTCAAATAACTCAAAATCCTTGTCTGTATTTTGTGACACGTGAGGTTCAGCAGTTGTTGGGAGATCTGCTGTCTCTCCTTGTCCCACAGCAGCGGTCACTGTAGAAACGCAGATGTACTGGTGGGAATTTCTAAAGTATTTTCTCTCCTAGAGATTATACTAGACTTTTGTCTTATGTTTGGTAAAGAAAGAAAAAAGAGCCGAAGGCGAGTTGCTTTAACTCCTGTGGCAAAATGCATGCATGTGTTTTTATATCTGTGACCAGAGGCACAATGATTGCATCATTCCTGTTCACGGTACCATAGTGGTAAAGTAACACCGATGAAAATACTCGTGCACTGGAGAAATGGGGAGGAATCATCTTACTTCGGTTCCTTGTCTGTAGAGTCGTGGGTATAACAGAAGAGCTCTGTTAAAAACTTGTTTTCTGAACAGAAGGTGGAGCACGTTCGTGCTTTATTGTGGAATCCAGGATATTTGGAAGCAATTTATCACTTTGGTAAAGAGCGGTGTCCTGTTATGATCTAAGGACAGACGTGATAAAGATATTCATGCTAAAAAATGCTGTGACCACAATGTGCCAGGCGTTGAAAAAATCTTGTCAAAAGCAATTAGTACATATTCATTGTATTAAAGGAGTTTGATTGGGTAATGTGACCCCGTTTCAGACATTTGTGATTTTTTTTGCCCTAACTGAAGGTTTTGGAAGCTGTGTAAAAGCATTAGCAATGCCAGGTTCCCAGTACAGTCCCTGTGGTACCCTGGGAAATCCAGGTGTGCCAGTCTGTAGCCACCGCAGGTAAAGAACTGTGTCTCTAAACATGGAATTGGTTTATGCTGTTATGTTTAATACAGAGAAGGCTGCTCACTGATTAAATCAAGGTGAGGTTT